AAGCAAAAGCAAAGAAACAGAAAAAGAGAAGGAAAAAATAAAAAAAAATAAAAATTTTAATTATAATAATTATTATTATAATATTTTTAAGAATGAAAAATTTATACCGTATTTCAGTTTTATTAAAAAATGCACACATAACAAAGATTCTCATGAAGTCATTTCTTGGCTCTACTTGCATTTAGTACTTGTTCTTGAGCAGCTTTCTTAGCTTTTACCTTCTCAACTAGTTCCTTATATCGTTTCATGCAGTCCTTCCTTCTTTGTATTGTTAGGCACAGCTTCTGCTATTTTTTCCCATCTTTCAGGTGTAAAAACAGAAAACCATGTGACACGTTTGACAAGTTCACAGGAGCCATGGGGAATCTTCTCCTGGAAGCCTTCCTCTCACCCCTACTGCCTGGGTTGGAGGAGCAGAGGGGATTATTAACAAGACAATAGGCGGAGCTGAGAGCAAGAGAAAACTTGACCTTTAAAAAAAGTTTAAAAAGGGGGGAACCAGCAGTTAGAGTAATGGCTACGTCACTGGACTTCCACATAGTCGATCATGGTTCGTGTCCCGGACCCGGTGGCTTAAAACTCACGCCGGGTGCGTGTGCATGCCCAAGATCCCGAGAGCAGAATGGAGGAGGAGGAGAAGGGATTGCGGCGTGATCATCCCCCTGGGGGGTGATTTCTCGCTTTCTGTCTTTATGTCTCTCTCTGTCTGTCTGGCAAGCGCACGTGCCCTATAGCAAAAACCTCTCCAAAAGAAAAAAAAAGTTTAAAAAGGGAAAATTACAAATAAATGAGAAGTCAGAAGCAGGGAGAGACAGAGACAGAGACACAGAGACAGAGATAGAAAGCTAGAGGAGCTCTCTACCATGCTAGCTTGTTTGCTGGAGGCTGAATTATCAGTAGGAAATCTTCATTTCTCTTTTACGCTGAAATTACTAGTTCACAGGAGCCATGAGGAATCTTCTCCTGAAGGCCTGCTTCTCACCTCTCCTGCCCTGAGATGACTAGTTTGCAGGAACCATGAGAAATCTTCTTGTCTAATTCCA